TTATTCAATGTACAGAGACCCTAACAGCCTCGAGGTACTGACACATCACGTCAACCGCTTCACTGAGTTGGCACGTGGCAGACAGATACAGCTGTGTATCGTCCGCATACTGATGGTATTTTATCTCGTGCCGTCGAATGATCTCTGTACATTGAATAACATCCTGTTTGAAATATAAACTAAGCCTGACAAGAAGCTGTATATATGTTTTGTTATTACTTGTTTAAACTCAAGTTTAAACTCAATGTACAGTTAAAAACTTGATGAAGAAAATATATTTTGGCCATTTACCTAAATACTGGAAGTGATGGTCCAAGCACATCTCCCTGAGAAGTATGTTTCATACCCTGCATAACAAAAAAGCTTCTGTGGTGCATCTTCAAAATAGCCTCTCCTGCTGATCTAAGCAATTGGGTAATTCCTAAAGAGGTCCTCTCTGTCCTGTACTAAGCCATTTAAGGCCTTAAAACATCCTAAAATTTGCTCAATAGGCAATGGGCACTCAGTGTAGCTTTTTCTGTTATAGACATGATGTCTTTCTTGTGCCTTGCTCTGGTTAGCAACCACTCTGTTCCATATTATACCAATTTCACATTCTGTATATTTTTCAAAAATACCCCCATATAGAATGTCTTGCAGCAGTGAAGATGATTGAAACAAGGCATGAATAATTGTCACCAAGCCTGCCTGGCTCAAGGAGGCTGGTGTTGGTGCAGTAGTTTTAGCTGTGCAACATCCTTTCTCAACGTAGTTGTCTCTTTAAATTCAGTGATACCTGGGGATCAAGAACCTCTCTGAAATAAGACAGTTTCTCTTTTGTGCAGCCTCATCCTTGTCTGAATTTAAGTTTATTCCTTATCTTTCATTCACTTCATTGCAAGATTGGGGTATATTCAAGAATGTTATTTAACTATGAGCGTCCTTGTAGTTAAATAGTAACTTGAAGTCATTTAATATTGATGATACCTCTAAATGATTTCTGACCCGAGAGCATGAAGCAAACTCCTTGTCCTGACAAAAACCCCTTTTATTAATTTACTGTGAATTCTGTTCATTCACATCCAGCAAAATCTTTTAAGGGAGGATTTACAGTCACAGACCTTATCTGGCTTGGAGAGCTGACAGGCCAATATCTGCAAAATTTGGCAAAGAGTCTCAGAGAGTCATGAACCAATTAAGCAAACTAATTGTCTCCTACAAATGCCACTCTCTTTTCTATCCTCTTTTATTTCCTCTGGGAGGGGCCATTCATTGCCCACCTGTGGCCTTATTCCCAAGTCAACCCCTGTTCTTTAGCTGTTTCCTTCGTCTGGCAACTCTGTGCATGAGGACACTGGGCACAGGCTCCAGCTGTTTTTCTGCCTCACTAATGTCTGACTCTAAAGGCAGCTGATAACTAGCATATGGCCCTGGCCCCCTCTCTGCCTCTGACACAGAGCCCTCATCAGAGCCTTCTCCAGACTCCGCGACTGGTCCATGTTCTCCCCAACCTCCTCTCTGCCGAATCTGCTGCCAGCTCTACTGGCTGCTGGCAGGCCACAACACATAGTCACGCACATGCCTGGTATGTGATGACTTGTCTTTCTGGCTTCCATAATTAGTATCTAATTTCTTTCCATATAATTTCTGCTACCTTCAATTCATTGGGAAAGCCATTGGTCAATGATAAACTATCAGAATGTTAGGAAGGACTGCAACCACTACAAAACAGAGCTCCCAACTTCTAACCCCACCAGATGAGCCAGAAGGATAATATAGTTAATGGCATTTTAAAAAAAGCACCAAGAGATCCCAGTGAACTAGTAATAACCCCAATTTCAGTGTAGATTTAATGTAATTTAATTTAATTTAAGCACAGCCAGATTCCAGAATGATTCTGGGCAGCTCACAATATCACAATGAGAATAAAAATGTAATATGATTAAAAAAAGAGTTAACAAAAACAAATAAGGTAAAAACAAGATGGCAAATCTTGCCTATAACATAAGGAATATATATCAAAAGCAGTCTTAGTATCATAACTGTTTCTTGAATAAAACTCCAAATGAACTAGGTCCAAAAAATCTGTTTCATCCAAATGCATTTGGCACAGCAAAAACACCAGTTTCTTGATCATTTTACTTATGCCTAGAATATTTGACACTGACCTATAATTGCAAAAATCTTCCTAGTCAAAGAAGGGCTTTTTTTTAGTAAAGGTCATAACCTGATAGAGATCACATGCTACCCTCAAGTAGGTTCACCTCCCTTCACCTCCCTTATAATCTGGCAGATTTAATCAGTCAAATGGGGCAAGAGTCAAGCAAAGCAGATAGTTACTCTCATCTTTTTAAATATATTGACTCTGTTATAAATTATATAAGCTGCAAAAAAAAAACTATATTGACAGAACAAATGATTGCCAAAATTACATTCCAGTAATCACCATATCGTAAAATTGATGAGAATTGCTCATGGTGAGGCCATAGCTGCTCTTTAACCTAGATGAATGAGATGTCATATCGTACCGAAAAGCATTACTTACCTCTTCTGCGCACAGGCAAGGGATGTAGAAAAGTAAGTTCTTTCAGTGCGTCCATTGCCATGGACTAGGATTTGAGATGAGTCTGAAAACTGACTCTGTGCCTGCTTAAGCGTAAAGGCTGGTCTGATGAAGGAGCAGGTGTGGGCTTTGGAGAAGAAGGATGAGGAAGTCGGCAGTTGCCGGAGGACAACACTGGGAAACTTACAGAGAAAGCATTTCCTGGATTATCCTCATCAGGCCTCTACGAACACGCCACACTTCTGGCTGTGATTCAAATCATTGCCCAGGTAGAGAAGATAGCTGATTTCTCAGTCTGGAGTGTCATCCTCAGAGCGAAGGAAGAGGTCAGAGACTACACAACAAAGGAGTTGCTTATATGCTGACAGGTGAATTGGAAGATTTACAAAGACTATTGGTACAAAACTAGGAGAAGAAACCTCTAACAGCTTCTGCCAGAGGAATTTACTTCTTTGGTTGGGCACTTTATTTTGAATATTACTTTGAAATCTTAATTTGATGCCATAGAGTTTGTTTTCAAATCCAGTTCCTGAAACTCGGTGGATTAGAAAGAGTAAACTTCAACTTTTATCTACACCATTGAAGAATCCAGTATTTGCCTTCCATTATTCTCAGTCAGTTTTCCACTTCTCTGTCTACAAGAATCACTGGGACAGCATGTTTACTCTTTGAAATACTAACATTAGCTTTTATTATTAAATAACTTTTGTAGGTGCTGCAAAATTCTGTAAGAATTTAATGTGCATGAATAGAACTACTCTATTTAATGGTTTGTTGCTTGTATATGACTTATATGTGCAGCTGCTTTCATTGCAATTGAAAACTATGAATCTGTTGGATTTGGCAGCATATAAAGCAAAAAAATGATGATGATGATAATGATAATGATAATGATAATAATAATAATAATAATAATAATAATAATAATAATAATAATAATAA